AGAGAAAACACAACTTTACCAACACTGTGAACGTTGACACAAGATGACTACCTAATCCCATGGTCCTGGTCCAAAACCCTTTATTAGGGTTGCCAGCTCTTTAGGCATTTTATCATACTATCATTTGTTGGCTTATTGTTGCCATACCCAGCACACGTTAGTTTTAGTTTTAAGTAACTGCAGCCTTTGGCCTTTTAAAAGGCAGGCAAATCAATTCTATTCTATTCTATTCAATAAACACGTGTAAAGCACCTACTTTGTGCAAGACACTGGGATGCAAAGGTTAAAAGAAATGGTTCCTTTCTTTAGGCCAATTATAATCTCTAGTTTGGCAATGTAGCTGGTATAAAAGTAAACATACAACATAGCATGCTTACTATAAGGGCAAAGAAGAAATCTTGACCAAAGTTGAGGAGGGAGAGAGCACTTTTAGCTAAGGAGACAGGAAAGGTTTCCTCAAATAGGCACCTGAACTGGGTCTGGAAGGATTTGAAACTGGATTTAAACTGGTAGAGATGAAGGGAGAAGGGAGGATTGAGAGAGGAGGAGGACTGGACAGGGGGGATGGTCTCTGACAATGGAGAGAGGTGGCCGAGGCCCCAGCTAGGTAGTCCAGCTTGGCTGGAATGTGGAATTTGTAAAGTGTGACTATAAAATAAAATCGAAATGTTAGGCCAAGGAGCTAGTATTTCATCATAGAAGAAGCCAGGAGCCACTGAAACCTTCAAACTTTGGCATGCACTTACTGAGTTATTTCTACTCAAAACCATCAATTTCTACTCGGGTTCAGTAATGAGTCCCCATCCGGGCCTACTCCAACAGCCTCTCTCAGATCCACTCTCCACAGGGCTGCCCTGTCCACTGGACCCAGGCAGGCCATTACTCGAGAACCTTCAGCAGTTCTTCCTTCCTTGAGAATAAATGAGGAAGGCCTCTGCTTGGAGTGTCAAGCCATTCACCAGCTGGCCCCAGGAGACTTTTCTGGCTCATTTCATATTCACCCACTGGACATTGGCCAAACCGAATGACTCGCTGTTCTCTAAGCTTGCCAACCACCTCCTGCCTCTAACCCTTTGCACAGGCAGGCCCTCGGGTGTGGGTCATGCCTGGACTACTTGTCCTCATTTCTGCCTCTTAGAATCTCTCTCGTTCATCCAGAGGAATTCATGGTTGACCTCCTACACAATCTTCTGGGTCCCCTAGCTCACTCTTTCCTCAAATTATTGTGCTTAGTTATTTTCATGTTCATTGCTTCCGGTAGAACATAAGCTTCTTGAAGACAGGGGCCATTTTTTGTCTATATCCTCAGTACCTAGTGTAATTTCTTGCATGAACTTGAAAAATGTTTGTTGAGTCCCTTTTGTAATATCAGAAAACTGGAAAGGGGATGTCCTTCAGTTGGAAATGACTGAACAAATCAAGGCATGAGAGTATCACATTACCGTTCTATTACAAATGCAGAGAAAATGGAGGCCGTCTCTTCTCACCTCTTCCTCATCTCCTATCATTCATGTGCCTTCAGCCACTCTCTTCTTCAACCCTGTCTCACGTGATAAAATGACCTTACGCCTTACCAAGGCCAACCCCTCTGATTATTCAAGTGATCCCATTCTACCCTCTCTCCTCCAACAGACTGACTTTTTCTTCCCCACTCTATCACTTATTCTCACTCTCTCTCCTGGCTCCTTCCCTACCACCTACACACGTGCCCTTGTCTCTCCACCATCCTGAAGAATCCTTCACTTGATCCTTCTATCCTGGCTATCATCTTGTTTCTCTTCTGCCTTTTGGGGCTATAAAGCGCCTCCACTTTCTTTCTGATCAAGAGTGAAATGAGCAGGGGGCAGCTAGATGGTACAGTGGATAGAGCACTGGCCCTGGAGTCAGGAGGACCTGAGTTCAAATCTGGCCTCAGACACGTGATACTCACTAGCTGCTGTGTCATCCTGGGCAAGTCACTTAATCCTGATTGCCTCTCACAAAAGAAAAAAAAGAGTGAAATGTGCAGAAGAACAATTTCTACAAAAACAATAAAATGGTAAAATTAAATTTTGAAAGTTTTAAAGAATTGATCAAAGCAATGAAATGGTTCCAAAGGATCAACAACGAAGCATACAATCTACCTCTTGAGAATCAAGTAATGGTTTCAGGATATAGTGCAGGAAAATATATTTCTCTGGCCAATGGGGAAATCTGCTTTGCTTTATGTATATTTGTTAGTATAAAATTTTTTTCTTCTGTTTTTTTCAGTGTGTTGAGGGGGAGAGGAGAAGAGAGTTGGGAGCAAGAGAAAATCAATTTTGTTAATTTTAAAAAAGAAAACTTAATTTAAAAAAGAAAAATGTTTGTTGGCTTGGATTAGTACCAGAGAAGTGAGTATGATATCCAGTCCATTCATGAGTTTAGAATACTCTACTGCAAATTTTTATAGAGATGGTACAAGGAATTGCCCACTACATTGCCTTCCCTCCATTCTTACATCTTTAGCACTCTCTCCATGGAAGACGTATTTGCATATGTATTATAATCCATGTTTCCTCCCTCCAAAAGAATTTAACTCTTTCAGGGGAGAGAATTTTTCCTTTTAATTTTAAATTTAAACATTTCCCCAGTGCTGTGCAGAGTAAACAACTAATAAATGTTGTTGAACTGGATTTGATGAGAGACACTCTTCACTTTTCTATTCAACAGGTAGCAAGATAATACACTGAAGTAACTGGCAACAAGTTTCTTGTCCTATATAGTATTTTGCAAAGATTAGGATGTTCAAAACAGTTGCCAAATAGTTATTTTGTGAAAATCATGTAACTCTAAAATTTCAACAAGTTGGCAAAAGGCAGAAGAAAATTATGTCAGAGATACATAAGTCTAAAATGTGCAACTCCTGGGCTTCGATAGAAACCATTCTTTCCAACAGTCAAATAAAATGTATACTTGTCTACATTGGTAGAAACGGCAGCTATATGGCACCAAGTAGGTCAGTCCTGGAAGAAGTACTTTTGTCCACACAATGAATTGGTTCCTGAAATCATACGTGAATTAAATTTTTGTGATGAAAGACCAGAGAAATTTACTATAAATTTTACCTTGAGTGCCTTGCTAAATCCTTTTTGCAGATCCTCTATCAATTTCCTATTCCAGGACAGATGTGTGTCTGTCAGTCTCTCACCAATTCCACTCTAGGAAGCCTCTATATGACTCTCTGACATTCACCTTGGTGAATTTCAGCCAGTACAGAATACCTCTCTTAAAACCAGCTTACTAGTCTTATGAGATTTCCCTCTTGACCACCAGTGGGTTATTGTCTAGCAATGAATAAAATACCCCTAGACACTGTCCTGCAAGATTCTAAGAACATGAAAAAAAAAAAGATTCTAAGAACGATCTGAGCCTGGAAGGAAGTAAAGAAGTGTTTCAGTAGATGCCAGGAATCAGGTGAGCCACAGGCTTTTCACTGTATGGCCAGGACATGCCCACCAACAGCTGGGCAGTGCCCCTAGACTCTGGACAGATGCCAAAGCTAAATCAGGGGACTGTTTCCAACATGGCACTGCCTTAGGAAGTCTGCTCTGGACTAGCAGTCAGGAGGATTCTCAGGAGGGAAGATCAATTTCAGGGTTTCTGGAATTCTGTCTATAACCTCTCCATGATGCACAATTGCCATCCTCCAATTCATTCCTTACAGGTTTTTACAATTAGTATACAACTGAAGTTTCTTCCTGGAAACTGGTTCCTAACCCAACACAATGATACTATTTAGATAACACTTCAAGGTTTACAAAGACATATATACTTGTTATCTCATTCAGTCCTCACCAGTACCCTATGAAATATCATCCCCGTATACAGCTGAGAAAATCAAGGTTCCAAGACACCCCACTTGCAGATGGTCTCTTCTGATTCTAAGTGCACCATTACTCCCACCACACCAGACTGCCTCCCTTAAAATACTTAAACAAGAATTTGGTTTATTTCATTTCCTGAGCTCCTATAGACTTATTTAACAGATGATTTGTTAAGGCTCACCTGGGGATTTGGTCACAGGGTGGGTGTGAACTAAACTGAGTCCTCTTTGTAGGCTTTTCTGGATGGTCACCTGAATGAAGATCTGCATTCCAAAATCAAATGTAAGCCAAAGCTACCCTGAGCTTCTATCCTGTGAGTCAAAGCTTCTCCTGGGCTATGGGAATCTACCACAAAGTCCTGGGGCTAGCAGAGTGCTGTCTATGCATAAAGCAGTTCTTGATAAATACCAATTTGACTTAGTTGGGGCTTATGCCAAAAAGCAATATGGCAAATCTGTTTCAGTGCCCTCTCCGGGATAACAAAACTGCTATCCTATAATTCATTCCCTACAGATATTTGTAACAGCTGCCTGAGTTCACATACCTAACATAAACAGGACATTTCTTCTTGTATGCTGATTCCGAGACTACCAATTTAATATATTAAGTCTTATTCCCTCATGGCAGTACCCCCAAATCCATGCCTCCAAATGGTTTTCTGCAGAGAAAATTGAGGGATGGGGAAAAACAGGATTGAACATATCAGAGACATACTCTTTTTTTTTTTTTGCTTAGGCAGTTGGGGTTAAGTGACTTGCCCAGGGTCACACAGCTAGTAAGTGTTAAGTGTTTAGTCTGAGGACAGATTTGAACTCAGGTCCTCCTGACTTCAGGGCTGGTGCTCTATCCACTGCGCCACCTAGCTGCCCCCAGAGATATATTCTTATACAATTGTTTCCCTTCAAGTATGAGGGAAGAAGTAAATCAAAATGCATCTCTACCCATCAATGATGAAAATGGGCTCTTCCAGATGGTGAATGATGGACGCATTGAATGAGAGATTAAAAATTATGTGAATCCATGGCTACAAAATGGGCTTTTCACTTAAGCTATTCTAACAGCAGAATCTACAAACTATTATCAAAAAATTAAACAGATACATAAACCCAACCATTCTCCTCAATGAGGCCTGGTTAAGTTGTACAGAAATGGATATCATCCTGCAAAATTTATTAATCAAACACTGCAACAGTTTACCCAGGTATAAAAAGCAAGGTGTCATAAATACTTTGAAAATAAAGCATTAAGAATATCTCTGTAAACATGATATCCAGTTAAATAGCATCAGGTGAAGATATTTTAATCCCATAAATGTGCTTTCTTTCATTTCCCATAACAGTACAAGCTCATTTACCAGATGACATAATGAGAGGGCTCACAGTTAAGAGACAAAATAATTGTCAGATCAGTGTAGCTGTAGAGTCCTTTCTTGAACATTTCATTAGTTATTCTGATAAAGCCAGAGAAACCAGGGAAAAGGTCATATATCAACTGTCAGGCAGACATGGGATTCTTAAGAAATGTGACTATTGTTCTTCATGGACAACAGGTTGGCACTGTTCTATGTTCTCAATAAGAGTGTTTATAAACCTCAGAGCACTAGGAAATAGGCAACACCTGTCATCTGTGATAGAGAGTGTCCCCGTAGGGGAAAAGATATAAAAATCCCGAATCCTCTGCAAAAGGATTTACTAATGGTTAATGAGTGAATGTAGCTCAGACCTGCACCTGGGGAGGTTGCCTTGTGTAATTTGTGCGATGTTACAGGTTTCACGGTGATGTCTGGACACAAGAACCGGAGATCCCAGTTTAAATGAAACCTAGTAGGTCAACTGAACGGGATGTTTGTTTTCTGGTTTCTGGAGGAAATGCTGACCCCTTTTCTAACCCTCTGAGAAAAGAGTTCAGACTATTTTTGTTGGGATGATTCTTCCTCATCCAGGCCGTCCTCTCGGGGGTGCCGGGGTTGGGGTGGCTCATCCTCCTCTGTGCCTTGTCTCTCTCTCTCTGCGACAATCCATTTCTGCGGAGTGATCATTTTTTTAGGCCCATGGGGAGGTGGGCCGATTAAGGCCTCAATGTCCTCATAGTTTATCACTTCCTTCTCCAACAAGGCATTAGCCAACTAGAAAGAACAAACATACCAGTGTATAAGCACTGAGAGCAGGCTCAAAGATATAGACAAGAGCCTTTTGAGATCAGAATATCAATGAATGAAAGAGAAAACCATTCAACAGAATATCCATGCAGGCTAACAAACTTCAGAGTAAAACCTCTCTCAGCCTTCCCAGGATCCAGGAAATGAAGCTCAAAAGGGTATTTCTATGAGTAGTATATCTCAAGCTCTAGGACAAATCATTTTCCCATGGAAGCAGTGACAAGAATGCAGGCTGGGAGACAGAACAAGGATACATCTTGAGAATGATGTTCCACTTCCCTAACTTAACAATTCCTCATTTTCTGGCAGCAGCTTTTTTTATAGACAGGTGGATGGGGTTCAGGACACCCCCCCCACATACATATATATATATATATATATATATATATACATAAATAACTATATCTGTATCTATCTATCTATCTATTTAAAAAAACCCTTAGTGGAGCTGGGGAAGGGGAAGAGTACTGACATCAAGGGATGACTGTAATATCCCACAATAAGTGGAAGAGCAATAGGGAGAGTCATCTCTGACACTCAATGTGGTATAAATTTCAAATGTGTAGAGGTTTAAAATAAGACATAAAGGCAACTGCAAAGCAAAGTTAACAGGACTAGCTCTACTGCTCCTGAACTCAAGTGCAAAGAATGCCACAAGAATAACACATTTCTCGTTTCTGTTAGCTAAGTCTTAAATCTGACAAATATTTACTGAGTACTTATTACCTATAAAGCACAAAGCTAGGCAACATGGGGTATTCAACAGCGAACAAGACATTGGGCAGCTAGGTGGCGCAGTGCATAGAACACCGGCCCTGGAGTCAGAAGGACCTGAATTCAAATCCAGCCTCAGACACATAACACTCACTAGCTGTGTGACTCTGGACAAATCACTTAACCGCAACTGCCTCACAAAAAAAAAAAAAAAAAAAAAAAGGAAATGAACAAGACATGATCCCTTCAAGGAACATACAGGGGAAAATAAAAGACAAATAACTACAAATAAGGGTAAAATGTGATAACTGCTATAGGAAGAGTATAAGCAAAGTGTTATGGGAACATAGAACAGAAAGAGAGTATTTCCATATGGGAAAGGAGGCATTTGTGATGGGACCTGAATGGCATTTCAACAGATGGAGATAAGGGTGAATGGAGCAGCATGAGCAAGGAACAGAGGTGGGAAAATTTGGGCTTCAGTAACTTCATGTAATGAAGATTGGTTGAAATGGATCATATATGAAGAAAAATAGTGGAAACTAAGGCTAGAAAGTGGGGGTTAGAGCCAGAAGGGCTTCAATATCCACCACGACTCTCTGATAATGGGATTTCCAACATCTTCCCAACAAATTTCTGCTCTGCAGGCCACTGGAGGCCCCTTAGGAAGACTGGTTAAACTGTTGATTGTCTGTATGCTGCCAAGCTCAAAGACTGGGCCATAGTTCAAGCAATAGATGAACTATAAATACTCTAGAGTGGTTCTGAAAAACAGATTAAAGGAGTTAGGTGGTTTTTCAAACTTTAATCTTCTTGTTCCACAGCATTCCTAGCTCCTGCTGTAGTGACAATTTGGGTCTATTTTCAATCCATCCTCAGAAAGGATCCTATCCTTATAACTTCACTTTCAGTAATGGGAGAAAGCTAAGGAGCTGGGGAATCCCCATTGAGGAGTCTCAAAGGAGACAAGAATGAGGAAATGGAATGGTCTCATTTCACTTTTGATCCTGCAATCCTCAAAAAAAGAAGCAATAGCTGTGACCTGGCAGAGCTATTTTAAGGGCTTCTCATTTGAATAAACTTAACTCACAAAAAAAATTTAAGAGCAATCAAAATGAAGAGATGTCATTTGGACTGCTTTTCCAGCTAGGAGCTTTATCAAAGAGAAAAAGCTCACAGAACACAGGATCACAGAATTAGAGCTGGAAGGGATTTCAGTCAGTCAATAAACACTTACCAGGCAAGGACGATTTGCCAGTCATTGTGCTAAGCATTGGGGATGAAAAGAAAGGCAAAAGGCATCTAGTCCAATCCCTTCATTTTATATTTTATACATGAGGGACTTGAGGTCACCTGAGGCAACCTGCCTAAGATGGATCTGAACCCAATTCTTTGATCGTTCTACCGGCCACCCCTCCACCTGTTACTTGTAGCTGGGGGTAGAGTAATCAAACCAACACAACAATTACAGGAAAGGACATGCCAGTAACACAACAATTACTGGAAAGGACATGCCAATCAATTCCCTTGTAACTCCACTCACCACCCTTCTGACTTCCTAGATCAAAACACCCTTCCCTGGCCAAAACTGAACAATACGTATTGCTTTCCTCTGTTTGAAGGCAAGCTCACTAAGGATAGGGACAGCCTTGCTTTTTTAATTTTTGTATCCCCAGATTCAGCACAGTGCACGGCACATAGTTAAGTACTTAATAAATGCCTTGTCATTTGTTTATTCATTCATTCAACACCCTGCCTCCCCTGGAAGATGCAGTCAGAGTCTGGAAACAATTGAGAGATGCCAATACAGGGAATTTCTGAAAATCAGAGTGGCTTCTGGGAAATCATCCATGTCCCCTATAGTCTCCTAGCTAGCATGGAATTGAAGCCCACGTATCCTCACTGCCAAGGGAGCAGAGAGAGAACGGAAAAAACTCACTAACTGTCTTGGGAAGAAAGCTGTGGATACCTCTAAGACTCTGCAAAATCCTCCTTTTCACAGGAAAAATCAAAGTTTTCCAATCAGGGATAGGAACTAGGAGTTGTGGCTGCAAGATCCAGTTCAATGCCAAGTGTAGTTTCAAAGACAGTCAGTCCCCTAGCCACACACTCAAACTTAGTCCCTCCTACTTCTACCCAGATGACTGCCAAATCTATACTTTTATTCAAACTTCTCAAATGCGGACAAATCATTTCCACATGGATGTCACACTAGCACTTCAAACTGAGCACGTCCATAATCGCATTAAATGTTTTCTAAATCTCCTTTTGACATCACCTTTTCTGTCGAAGGTACCTACCTACCCAGTCAACCCGTGACTGAAATCTTGGTGTCCTCCCTGACCTCTTATACATGAGCAAGAGCCCAACCCTATCAATTCTGCCACAACAAAAGCTTTGACATCCCATTCACTTTTACGACCACCCCTGTAGCACAGGTGGTGATTACCACTCTCCCTTCTCGGAGTGTTCTAGTAACTTCTCAATGGGTCTTCCCACACAGCTCATCTCTGCTCTTTCAACTTCACTGTTACACTGCTACTAGACTTCTTGAAAATCGCCAGTGACTGCCCCTTGCCTAACAAGTCCATCCAAAGTCCTTCGTAATGTGTGACATTCAAGGGCCTCCTCGATCTAATGCCATCCTGACTTTCCTGCATGAGCTCCTGGAGCTCTCCTTGAATTCCAGCCTCCAGGTCACCAGACTCATTTATGTCCCCTGAACACACTGCACTTTCCTGCTTTGTGTCTGTGCACAATCCAGTGCTGGAACGGCCTTCCCTTGCTGCATTCCTACTCCTTCATTAGACATCATTTCTGATGCATCTCCTTCATGAAATTGTCCAAATCCACTGCCTTCGCTACTGTGCCTCATGACCCATGTCGTGAAGGTGTCCTCTTCTCTCCCCTACAAGGCTAAGCTGCAAGAAGGCAGGGACTGTGTTTTAGATAGCCCCTAGCACAGTCTTTACCAAATGTATGCTAACTCTGAACTACTAACAATCAGTGGCTCCCAAAGTGCCCTAGTGAAGCAGAGAGGTCCTAGGCTTGTAATCACGGGTGGAAGGGACTTCCATGGCCACCGGGTACCACCCACACTTAAGAAGAATCACCCCTATGTCGAAGCAAAGAAGCTCATCCAGCCTTTCCCTGGAGAACTTAAACAACAGGGGACCGATGACCTCCCTAAATAACCCATTCTACTTTTGGGGAGCTCTGAAGTCAGAGGACTTGGGTTTAAACCCTGCCTCTGAGCCTTCTGCTGCTGCTGTGACCTTGGCAAAGTCACCTGATGCTCCCTGGCCTGTTTCCTCGCCTGTAAAAGGAGGGGCTGGATTAGATGGCGAGTTTGTGCCCTAGGATTCTATTATATGCCCATCTAAGATATTATGGACACTAAAATGTTCTCTTCAGAAGCCTATTCCAAGGAGAAAAAGCCAGTGATCACTTCTCTTCTCAGACCTCTCACTGCTCAGCAAGGCTTCAGCAAGTGCTGATTCTAACTTGGCTTGGCTTCTGTCCCTCCCATGCAGGCCCATCAGCCCCAGATGGGTGTGTGAATGTCTGTTTACTTAGTTACCTAGCAGCAACAGCTCTGGGCAGACCAAGTTATATAATTCTACATGTGATGACCTGAGGGATGGGAGGGGTCACGAGGAGGCCTCAGAGACAAACAAATGCACTAGTTAAATACCTCTACCTCCTAGGTTTTTTTTGCTTTTGTTTTTAAAATCAGAATCCAATTGTTGCCTTTTCTCTAATATAAAATGGTATTTCTGACCCTTCCCACCTTACACAATCAGCCACACACAGGCTGAGAATTAGGGTGATAGGTCTGCACTGAACCCTCTATTCTCCTACCACAGTTTCTGGGATCTTCATGTGGGTTAGGCTTAGGGGCGGAGCTTGAGATTGAATAGAGTTCTTCCCCTTTGTAAAGATAACATAGAGTTAACATAGGAAAAATGGCCTCCTTATTAATAGGCTCTGAGCCAGTAACAAGCGATTTCCTTAGCTCTAAGTGCTACCAGGACAGCCAAACAATACTTGTGGGTACTACTAAGACATGAGAAGGAGAAAGGAAGAGCAGAGCAGATGAAAGAGCAAGATGGTTGAAGAAAAGAAGCAGAAAGGGCATGCACTTGGTGGAGAGGGAGAACCCCAAGCTCAATGGGCTACAGGAGCTTTCCCCCTTCCTTAGCCATGGCTCTAACTGGCCCAGGCCCCACAGTGAGAGCACAAAATACCAGCATGACACTTACCGACTGCAACTTGGCTTCGTTCTCCTGCAGTACCTTCTCTGTGTGCCTGTACGCTTTAGCCACCAGCAGTTTTGCTTCCTGGAGGAAAAGGAGGAAAAATTCCTATAAGGAGAAGTTACAATGGACAACTACAATTCCTAATTCCAGCTTCTTTCCTTTAAAAAACAAAAACAAAAACAAAAACATTTTAATTTGGGCGATTCACTTTAATTTTCTGGTCTACAGTTTCCTAATCAGTAAAACAGTAAGATTAGATTAAGTGAACTCTGAAGATCCCACACCAGTGGGGCAGCTAGGTGGCACAGTGGATAGAGCACCGGTCCTGGAGTCAGGAGGACCTGAGTTCAAATCTGACCTCAAGACACTTAACACTTACTAGCTGTGTGACCTTGGGCAAGTCACTTAACCCCATTGTCTAGCACCCCCCCCCCCCAAAAAGGATCCCACACCAAGCCCTAAATCCCATGAGCAAAATGTCTCCTGTGAATCCCAGAATAAGCAAGCAGCTGAGGCAGTTCCTTCCCTCTCTCCCATGGTAGTGTCTTGATACAGCTCATTCACAGCTACCTAAGGTGCATGCACACCCTCCTTTCATAAACAGAGCTAAACAAGAAGAGGCTCAGTCCGCTCTACTCTGTGTTCTTAAATGTTAAAGGCTGTTCAGCTCCCTAGGAATTCTGGGTTCCTTCCCTTGGTTCCCCACTATTTCCCTAGGTCATGGTATCCCAAAGATAACTGACCCAAAGATAACTTTAAACCTGGCAACACATTCAAAAATAATAAAGGCCAGGCAAAATGGACAGCAATCCACTAAATTCAGCAGCATGAATTGGTTCCCAGTGCTGGAGAACTCTTAGAAAAACAATTTTTTTACTCCCAGTGTTGGCTAGGGAAGAGGAAGGGGAACTATTTTTTGTGGTCTCAAAGAAAACACATCAGCCTGGACAGCACCATGGGAAGGCTGTATTTCAGGACGGCTGACAGTACTCGGTTTTTTGGAATTGACGCTGGTCCTCAATCTGGAAAGGAGTAAGGTGAAAACCAAACAACAAAAGGTGGATGACACTGAGCTAATGTTATCTTCTTGGCAAACGCTGAGGGAGATGTTTTCATTAGTAACTATTTGGAATGAGTTCATGGTCCTGAGTTTCTTCAGCTAGTTGCTAATTATACTTTTTTGGGGGAGGGAGGTGCAAGGTTGGATGATTCAAACATTTTTCTTTAAGGTTACACAGGGCCTCTAGGCAAATCTCAATACTACTGCCAACCTCCCCCTACTATCACAAAGAAAAAATCACCAAGGATTAACAATTGTGTGGGATGCCCTTTGAAGGAAGGGCTAGAGTATGGGAAGAGCCAGGCTTTAATATCTCCGAGGAAATGACCTTAACTAAAAGATTATTCAGCAGATGCTTGACGTACAGAGGTATTTTAGTCAAGTGTCGTTGCCTGCTGTATTTCACATCACAAGAAACTCATAAATCTTAAAATTCAATAAACTCCATTTGTCAAACCTTTCCCATATAGAAAAGAAATATAAGATGAGTAAAGGAATAGATAATCAGCCATTTTGGCATTTCTCACATATGGTTCATTTAATTTTATCCTGAGAGAATGACACTGTCTTGCTACTGGATTATCTCAATGGTTATCAGTTCAATCAAGCAGTTATTTTCGGTTACCTTGATGCTCAGAATTTGAATCTAGGGCATAGGCTAGTCTGGCTGTATAAACAATTCCTTGGTATCCTAAGTGTAAGTCTATGGGTAGCTGTGACAAAGGAGCAAGAAAGTGCTGATGTGTTTCATACTAAATATACGTCTGCCCACTTAAATGACAAAGGAGAGTAAATTGATTATTTTCCGTATATCTTAAACTAAAACAAAAAACAAATACTAAGAGGAAATCTAGGGATGGACAGTCATACCTGGCTGAGGGTTAGAATTTAGTGTACTAAGCACTTAAGCAATGTCAATCAATTTGTTCAAACACCAGAAGATGTGAAAAACTAGAGTCAACTAGGAATGGTAGTTACACTTTAACTACCTAAAACCACTGTAACACTTCCCTCTCTGCTTTCCAGGACAAACTTTAGGTCTTTGGAAATGAGGAAATCAGAGCTGCTCATACTGATAAGGACACCAGCATTTGGGGCTCCCTTCCTTCCCCCCCCAGCTCCCCTCCCCCACCCTAGTCAACTTGGATTCCCCTGCCAGGGAATTTGCACATTCAACTTTAGTAATTAAGTATCTGTGATCTTGGCAGTCAGTCACCTTTGTATACTTACATGATCCATCATTTGTTGAAGCCCTTGGCTAAAGGGTCGTCTTCCTATGCCTGATGTGCTCTCCTGCTGGTCAGGGAAGGAAATAGGGCCGATGCTAGGCACCATCCCAAACTGCTTCACCATGGAATAGGCTATTTTAGTGACTTTCCTTAGATCATCCTGTGCCCCTAAATAATCAGGATCAAAAGAAATAAAGGTTTTTTATGTTGGCCAATTTAACAGATTTCCTTTGTTAAGACTTTATTATGAGCACAAACACGAATCTGACAACAGAATTTAAGACCTTCTTCACGTGATCAAGAATTATAGTGGATGATGAGACATAAGTCAAGAGCCAAATGGCACTTTTTCCTGGTCATCTTACTTCCCTATTAAAAATAAACAACTATTTCTATACTTAATTCTATTCTATAAAAACAGGAAAATGTAACTCTTAATATCCTAGTGTTATTAAAATTAAGCATTTAATTAAAATTAAAATCAAGCATTAGATAAATTAACAGTAATTATGAATATGCACTTATATGGCAATTCAGAGTTTCTTTCACCCCACCAGTTTCATTAGATTCACAACATTTGTTAAAAAAAGATTCAAGTTAATGCTGTTTTGTGAATTTAGATTAAAATCTAATACCTAACACTGTAAATTTCCACATACTGGCAATAAGTCACCATGAATTTAAACCAGGTGACTATTTCACAGCTGAACCCCTGAAGTTTGTGTTTGTGTCTAAAGTTATTTGGGTCTGTGTTCTAAGCTCCCAAAAAGCATTCATTAACATCTGTATGCTCTTAACTAATATTTCTAAGAGGACCAGTACACAGACAGTACTAAACCAATCTGGATTTTTCGAGTAAACTTAAATATGTTAATTTTAACTAGATTAAAAATGTCAGGGGCACCTAGGTGGCGCAGTGGATAGAGCACCAGCCCTGAAGTCAGGAGGACCTGAGTTCAAATCCGGCCTCAAACCAAACACTTGACCCTTCTAGCTGTGTGACCCTGGGCAAGTCACTTAACCCCAGTTGCCTAAAACAAGCAAAAAAAAAAAAATGTCTACGTAAGATTTTTATTGAGGTTCTCCTCACCTACTTTTCTTCAAACAAGGTGCTAATGTTGAGGCTCACACAGGTACCAAAATAAAAAGGCTCCATCCCAAACCAGTGGTCATGAATAGGCTGTTTGGCCTCTTTCTTACTCTCAGGACCAGATACTATCTCCACGACAGACAGTGACTTGGTTATGTAGAACTGTTTTTACTGAAATATGTGAATCCAGAATTTTCAAATACCAAAATTAACTATAGATACAGAATATGTATACAATAAAAATAAATACACTTTAATTTTAAAGATTCTTTAAAAATGATTTTCCTAGCTCCACATTTCTTTTGGTTATATATCCTCTTTTGAGCACCTGAATGGGATATTCCAGGAAACAGTCTAATTTATTATAATTTTGTGACCCTATTTATGGCCACTGACTCTGAAAGAATACAATCTGGCTTTGAAGTTGCTTCTATAAAATAATATTATTGTTGTGTACCCCATGCTAAGAAACTCTTGACTGATTCACCTAAGAGCCAGCTTCTCACCTGAAGTAACCTTATTAAAAGAAATGGCTTCAGACACTCGGCCTCCCAAAGCCATGCACATCCGCTCAAATAGCTGCTCCTTAGTAAAGAGATACTGGTCTTTAGGGAGGATCTGAGAAAATCCCAGGGCAGCATTTGTCCGTGGTGCTATGGAGACCTGCAAAATGTCAAAATGGACCTCAAATTTCACAAACAGAATAGAGACTTTAAAAAAACAAAAGAACCAATCTATGAGGAAGCAATGCAACACTGATGATATTTTTAATCTCAGGCTTCCAAAGAAGTTAACGCATATATCTAAGACAATTCAAAAAGACTCATGATGGAAAATGCTATCCACATCCAGAGAAAGAACCACGGAGTCTGAATGCAGATTAAAGCATGCTATTTTGATCTTTTTTGTTGCTGTTGGTTTTTTTTTGGTTCATTTTCCCCTATTGCTCTGATTCTTCTTTCACAACATGACTAATGTGGAAATATGTTTAATATGATTGTACATGTATAACCTATATCAGATCGCATGCCATCTTGGGGAAAGGGGGAGAGAAGGGAGGGAGAAAAAAGTTTGGAACTCAAAATTTTATAAAAGTGAAAGCTGAAAACTTTCTTTACATGTAATTGGAAAAAAATGTTATTAAAAAGAATAAAAAAGAAAAAAATACTATTAAAAAAGAAAAAATAAATGGTCAAAAGATATGAACAGGCAGTTTTTCAGATGAAGAAATTAAAGCTATCTATAGTCATATAAAAAATGCTCTAAATCACTATTGATCAGAGAAATGCAAATCAAAACAACTCTGATTTACCACATCACACCTATCAGATTAGCTAATATGACAAAACAGGAAAATGATAAATACTGGAAAAGATGTGGGAAAATTGAAATACTAGTGCATTGCTGGTGGAATTGTGAATTGATCCAACCATTCTGGAGAGTAATTTGGAACTATGCCCAAAGGGCTACAAAACTGTGCATAGCCTTTGACCCAGCAATACCACTTCTAGGTCCGTATCCCAAAGAGACCATAAAAATGGGAAAAGAACCCACATGTACAAAAATATTTATAGCGGCTCTTTTTGTGGTGGCAAAGAATTGGAAATTGAGGGGGTGCCCATCAGCTGGGGAACAGCTGAACAAGTTGTGATATATGAATGTAATGGAATACTATTGTGCTATAAGAAATGATGGGCAGGCAGACTTCAGAAAAACCTGGAAAGAATTATTACATGAACTGATGCCGAGTAAAGTGAGTAGAACCAGGAGAACATTGTACACATAACTGCCATATTGTGTGATGACTAACTTTGATAGACTTATCTCTTCTTAGTAATGTAAAGATCTAGACAGCTCCAAAAGACTCAGGATGGAAAATGCTACCCACATCCAGCAAAAGAACTATAGAGTCTGAATGCAGATTGAAGCACATTATTTGTGCTCTTTTTTTTTTTGTTTCTTCTTTCTTGTGGTTCCTCCCATAGGTTCTAATTCTTCTTCACATGACTAATGTAAAAATATGTTTAATATGAATATATATGTAGAGCCTATATCAGATTGCATACTGTCTTGGGGTAGGGGGAAGGGGAAGGATGGGGAGAAAATGTGAAACTTAAAATCTTGTGGAAGTGAATGTTGCAAACTAAAAGTAAATAAAAAAAAGAAAAAACAAAAAAGAAAAATACTAGGGAAGATATGGTTAAAGTGCTACAGTAGAAACAAGGGGGCTTAAGTGAAATGTTTACGGATCTATTTTTTGATAATTCTAGCTTATCTATCCTTTATATCTTCTTGGAATCAAGATCTTCCATTATAAAGACATTTCCACAAAAAAAAGAATTAAAAAAAGAAGTTAGAACATACACACACCAATCTTGACAATGGAATAGAATTCTAATATTGAAGTAGCACAGTTCATAGAAGTAAAAAGGGACTTTCAGTTTATAGCCACTGTAACAGTAGTTTTGAGGCTGAGGGTATTGTGGAACATGCAAAGTGCCCAAGAAAATATCACACAACAATGTCAATTACCAACCAATCTGGAGGCATACTTCATAATGGGGCAACATTTGTAACACAGATCCTATATTAATCCATTGCTCCCATAATTCCAGAATAAGATAAAGATAAACATGCACAACAGAGCATATGAGATCACAACACGTACCCTTGCTTAGATTATTTTCTAAATTATCCTACAAACCGGAACTTCTCTTAAATGCAAGAGGAAATAAATGACCCTGTACCTGTCTGGAAACAATCCTTATCTGTCCCTAACAGAAGATTAGACTCTGGGCCAACTGAAAATCAGGTAAGATGATTATGAATGGTGGTACTTCAGAATTTGACGGCCACGTAGGTTCCTCCTCTCCATACCTGTCATCAGTTCACCAACTTCCATCAGCACCTTCCTTAGTTTTTCCAGATGTAAGAATCTCAACAGCTGTAGTTTTCTCTCATACTCCATCCCTTGACCCCCTTTGGTAATGTGTGGTTTTCTTGGAGTACACAGACACGCAATGTAGATACTGCCATGTAATTATTTACATTACAAACATCTGTTTTGGACTACACCTGTGATTTCATTGCTATGGGAATTCCCGATAAGGAAACATCCCCTAGCACTGAGGCTGCCAGCTGTTCTCCAAATGAGAGTGTTAGAGCATTGCCAGAGGACACTGGGGGTTCAATGACTTGCCCAGGGTCACAGGGCCTGTTTGTGTGAAAGGTGGAACTTGAAGCCAAACCTTCTTGGTTTTGAGTCTTGATCCCTAACATATATACGTGATAAACATTTCTACAGTCCTGGAAAGTCTGCAAAGTTTTATACATATGTGTATGTGTATATATATATACACACACACACACACACACTTTCTATCAAACAATCAACAAATAATTATTAAGCATTTACTACATGCCAGGTACCATGCTAGGTACTGGGGATACGAATATAAAAAAGTGGCTTATTGGGAGTTGACAAGACATCTGGTAAATAAAAAGGGATTTTGGGGGGTAGGGGGCAGGCTGGGATCTAGGGGTTCTAAGAGGGAGATGTGAAGAAGATCAATTCAGGCTTGAGGCAGCCCTGTCCAAAGGCCAGGAGACTGGATATGGAATGCTGGGCTCAGGGCACAGAGCAAGTAGGTCGATGTGGCGAGGGGAGAGAGAGAGGGAGAGGGAGAGAGGGAAAGAGAGAGAGGGAGAGAGAGAAGGAGAGAGGGAGGGAGAGAGAGAGAGAGAGTGTGTGTGTGTGTGTATGTGTGTGACAGAGATGTGTGACCAGCCTGGAAATACAGGCTGGAGCTGGACTGTGAAAAGTTTGAAATGCCGAACAGGTATTTGTATTTTACCACAAGGGAGTTGGGGAGTGGCTGACGCTTGCTGAATAGGGGGTGACATGGTCGGACATGGGCTTTAGAAGTCTCCACTGAGCAACTGTATGGAGGATAGTTTGGAGAGCTGCAAGGGCAGATGTAGGAAGATTAACTAGGAGAAGATGAGGGTGTGGACTCCAGCAGCTGTGGTTTGAGTAGAGAGAAGTGGATAGATACAAGAGGAGTTGGCGCCAATCAGCTGAGAGAGGGAGATGAATGAGAGCCCAAGCAGCAAGGATGGCATGTGTTCAAACCCAGAGATGACAAGTTTTTAGACATCAGCAACTTTACCTTCATCACTGCCTCTGTGTGCTCCAGTAGCCAGCCAACCAAAGCATGGCCTGACTCGTGAAATGCCACAATCCTTAGCTCTTCCTTGGACAGAATCTTGCTTTTTTTGGCAGTACCTAAGGAAGCACCGAAGATTTTAGATGTCATGCAAAAGTAAAAGTCCTGGCAATACCTAGGTGAAATGCGCCAGGCACTGTCCTTGCTCACAGGCCCTGCTATTTCTGCCTTGTGTAATCTAAGAAGTGAGGTACCCATTATTCAATTCTCTGGCCATATCTTGCCCTTCCAGACCAATCACCCACAACTTCCGCCCACTTGAAAAAAGGCCAAAACAGGGCAAGAGGTGGTTAGAGATAAACATTTTTCTATTCCTACTTTCGTATTATTTAATATGTTATCAAAAGGGTTCCTTTGCCAATGATACATTTTGGGGAACAGATCTAGAACTTACATGATGGCAAGGACCTTAGTGATCATTAAGCCCTAATGCTTCCTTTTATCTATAAAGAGTCTCTGGTCGACAGACATGAAGTGATTTCTCCCCGGTCCCCAGGTTGGCCACAGGTGTAGGCCTGGACCAAGAACCTGGTCCCTTGGGCTACAGGCCCTGCTTTTTCCATTCATTACATCATACTGCCTAAAAGACTCAAAAACTTGTTATTTTTCAAATACATTTTAAAATCTCTTTTAAGATAGCTAGAGTGAAAGCAGATGAGATTTAAGTTCAGAATAGTTGGTTATCACACTGCTACATGTCTCTATTGGATATTTTAAGAATTGCCCATTAGGGTCGGGTTTGAAAGAATTTATAGCATTATAATATAACTTGGCATTTGGATGTAACAGATGGAAAGCACACTTCTCTTCAAATATGGGTCACAGTTTCAGATTAGATTTAATTATACGTAGCACATAAGTATGTGATGATTTATGAACTTCCATCATGAAAAAGTTTGTTCTAGGCCTATAGCACAAAAACTATGTGAAAAAAAAAGTTAACATAAGAGTTTTTAAAATAGGGGGGAAAATGTCTAAGAAGCCCCCCCAACTTAAGGGGCAGCTTCAAATACAGGATGTAGGAGAAAAGAGCATGGGGCAAATTATCAGAAAATCTGGATGCTACTTCTTGGCCCTGTGTGTGACTCTGGGCAGGTAACCATATTCAGCCTTAATTTCTTCACCCAAAAAAAGTAGAATACCACTCCTCATTCTGCTTACCTTACAAAACTATTATACCAAATAAGATAACAAATGCAAACCCATTCTGAAAACTGTAAAGCATGATACAGATTTAAGGTAGCATTAATATTATTGTTTTGAACTAGTACGGTAAACCTAGTCCTCAACTTTGATCTTTTTGTTGCTCTGGATGCAGCGGAAAAAACCAAAACTGTCTTCTAAATAAAACAGTCATCATCATCTTCTGCTGTCCCCCTTTCTCCTTTTCGGAAAGCACAGCATCTGCAGCCAGGAGGCAGTCCTGCACTAGGGAGGCCTCAGAGAGTCTTTGCTCCAAAGCACCAGAGGTTCGTCGTCTTTGGTTCAGTCTTTGTTTGGAACTAGGGATTTCACTGGCAGAGAAAGGGAGAAAACCTTCCACTACCAATGCAGGTCAGTAACTGTTATGGTAGGGGACTGTCTCTGACACTGAAAGGTTAAGGGAGGGGTCCCAAGGTCATACAGATCACATCTGGGAGAAGGGGAATAGGAAAGCAAGTCACAGACTCAGGTAGGACCTCTATCAACACTTTTTAAAAAATTCATCTTAGAGGGGCAGTTAAGTGGCACACTGGATAGAGCCCTGGCCTTGGAGTCAGGAGGATCTGAGTTCAAATCCAGCCTAGACACCTGACACTTACTAGCTGTGTGACCTTGGTCAAGTCACTTAACCCTGATTGCCTCACCAAAAAGCCAAAAAAAAAAATTCATCTTAGGTCAACCAAAAAAAAGATGGAACTCCATCCTGCTGCTGGCCAGAACGTTTCCATTTTTTCTTTCCATAAACTTGTTTGATTCTCCAGTCAAACTGTATTTACTGATATGTCCTTTATTAAAAATTGAAGTCAAGTCAAATAGGAGTTTCAAAGAGATGTTTCTTAATGTAGATCTTCTACAAGATGAAGGTTCTACAGGGATATTTAACATGAGTCTTGCCTAAACATCCCTTATTTACCTGAAGGTGACTCCCCAGAGCAAAGCAAGCAAAGCAAGTGCCAAAATTAATAACAACAACAACAAAAGTAAATTAGTAATTCCCAATATCCCAATAGTTCTACCTCTGTAGCTGTAGTTAAAAGATTACAAGCTAAGGATGAGGGAGAGGGCAATGGTTTAAAAATTCCATCTTGACAATCCATACAGATTTTTTTAAAAGGAGATGACAGAATGAGAGGTATTTCCTTAAAGTACAAACCTCAAAACCCTACTGCTGTTCTTATTTGAATTTACTTGGTTAAAAAAGTTGAATACTTTCTAATGACTTATAAATAATTATCCTGTGTTTTAGTTTACAGACAACTATCAACTCCCTTAACTGATGGAAAGAAGCACCCTAATGGCTAGTCCAAAAACAAGCAAGTATTTATTAAGTGCCTGCTTATGGGCAAATCACTGAGGATACAAAGAAAAAGATGAAACAGTCTCTGCCTTCAAAGGTATAAATGCATATACAAAGAGGCAAAACAAAATAAGTAGTCTGAGGAAGGACAGAACACCGGCAATTGGGGAGAAGCAGGGCAGGCTCCAAGGAAAAGGTAGTACCTGATCTGAACCTTGAAGAGCACTAACGATTTTGAGAGGCAGAGATGAAAAGAGAGTTCATTTCAAGATTCACCAATTATGGCCAAAGGGCCAAATCTAGTCCTTCTGTTTAAATACAATGTTATTTTAAAATTAAAAATCATTCTTAGCTGGGAAGGAAGAGAGGGCAATTTGGCCCTTAGTTTGCCGATTCCTGTTCGAATCTCAAATTTCTTGCTGCTTTTTGTTCTATTGCTGTTCAAGTCTATTCAAACCCTAGATTATTCCCATCATCCACCTTCTCCACTCCTACTCATATGTTGCTCAACTAGGGACTAAGTTGTGCAGCCATAATCAGGTTCCAACAAACTTATGTTACCTAATCTCAACCTACACACACACACACACACACACACACAGGCACACACACGCACACACACACTCTCTCCCTCTCTCTCTCTCAGTGAATGAGTTTCAATTATCATCTCTATAGTTTAGGTCTTGTTAATGTATGCTTGACCATATATGTATGATTTCCACATTGCCAACTCCCTCTTGGACATTTTAAGCTGGAGGTTCTGCACGCATCTCAAAGTCACTATGTCCAAAGGAAAACTCACTATATTTCCCCAAAACCACTCGTCTTCTGAACTTCCCCATTATTCAGAGTACCACCATCCTCCCAGTCACTCAGGCTCGCAACTCCAACATTATTCTCAACTCCTCACTCACCCCACATATCCAGCAGTTGCAAAATCTTTTCATTTCTATCACTACAACACCTCTCACATTCTGGTCTCACAACCACCATCCTGGTTCAGGCCCTCATCATCTCTCACATGTGATGTTACAATACTATCTAGCTGATCTCCTGCCTTTCCCTATTTCAGCCTATCCTTCACAGAGCCTTACACTGATTTTCCTAAAGCCTTAGCCTGATTGTATCACCTTCCCCCTACTAAATAAACTCCAGAAGCTCCCTATTACCTCTGAGATCAAATATCAACTCCTCTGTTTTGGCATTTTACATTAGCATTCTTCAGAAAGTCAGTTATTAAGCACTTACTCTGTTTTTAGTTCTGAGGATACAAAGAAAGACAAAAAACAGGCCCTGCTCTCATCTTATTCATCACTGCCGTCCACAAATTCTATGGCCCAGTCAACCTAGCCTTCTTGTTTCTCACAATGACACTCCATCTCCTGTGTCCATGCAGTGACTGTCCTCCACACTCTTTTCTCATCTCGTAGAATCAATCCTTGGTTTCCTTCAAGACTTTACTCAAACACTACCTTCTGAATGAAGTCTTTCCTGGTCCTTTTTCCTCCACAGTTAACTTCTATGTGTTTTGTGTGTTTTGTATGTGGCAGAGCTGAATTGGGATATAGCCCAAGAAGCTCATTTGGAGACAGATCTACAGTGGGCACCCCACTGTCTAAGTGTGCATGAAGCTCTCCTGGCAACTTCCAGGCAAACATCTGGTTCAAAGCTTAAGCCCTTTCTCCCCTTCTATCTCAGCCCTATGCCAGTAGGACAAGGGTGGTGCATTGTGTCAACCAAAAAGAGAAACAGCTTCCTTTCTGTCTTTCCTTCATTGCCTCTAGAATATGTAGTGAACTGTTCTCACATGGAAGCCAGCACATGTACTGGCTGATGCGAGTGTGAGACTAGATCTTAAAGGCCTGGCTCTACACGGGGTTCCTCCCTTGAGTGTAGATGACTGAAGAGGGATCAAGACATGGATGTCCCAGTGGATCTTCTGACTGTTTGTTTTAATCTACCATACAATTAGTCCAGCCCAATCAGAACGTATCGTTTGCTTGGGTCTGAGATTTGCTTTCCAGTGTTTTGTTTTATTGTTGCATGGAGTTAAGAAGGGAAAAGATCCTGAGTCCCATCAGTCAGAAGTGACTAGAAGCAGTACCACTACACCCTGCTTGGAGAAAAGGATAACAGGAAAGACAATGAGCCCAAGCCCTGGCCTATCTGCCAGAAGACTTGGTCTTACACGGAGCTATTTGGACAGCGAAAAGCTGATGTGATGCTGAAATGCTGATTTAATTTTCCCACAAAATGCTTCAGACTTTGATGTTTTTAAATCTCAACCTTTTAGGAGAACATAACAATAACTGCAAGTTATTGCTATTTGTTTAAATCCCTGTTAATGTATGCTCATGAATCCCTCATAATAAATATTTCTTTTGTGTGCAGGAAATAATTAAGTGTCCTACATCTAATTTACATTGGACATTGTACACCTCTGTACTACTCTCCTTTTGGAGAGACCCCAGGTATGAGCCAAACCTAAGCTTTAAGTGATTTTTTTTCCTGGGACTTTGGGGTGAGGATACAAAGAGCCAGAGAGTTCAAGAAAAAAATCTACTAAGACTGCACCTGGTCTGTTTATTCATAGGTTCAGAGCTAAGAGGGAACCTTTAGTGAGTTAGGGAGAGGACAAACACCATGGTCACCTAGGGCCCAGGGGCAGTTATTTGTATTGTTACATGTATCTATCTATGTATATGCTATTTCCTCTGTTAGGATGTAAACACTTTGAGGATAGGACTGTTTCTTTTTTGTTTCTGAATCTTCAGTGCCTTGTACAGTGTCTGTCACATAGTAAGCATTTAATTAATACTTTCTGATTGGTCAAAGAGCTCATGAAGGAATGGTTTGAAACAAGATTGTAAAGGTAGGCTAACAGTCAGTCTGGGATGGACTTTAAAATACCAGCTGAGGAGTTTGTGAGTAACCAATGAAGGTTTTCAAAGAAGGCAAACACATAGTCAGGCTTAGGAATATTATTCTGGCAGTGATGTGGAGGATAGAATGGAGAATGGAAAGCCTGGAAACAAGATGAACAATCAGGCAAATAAACCAATGCAAATTATTATACGAGTAATAAAAGTAAATGAGAGGAAATGAGGGCCTGAACTAGGGCAGTGACCATGTGGATGGAAAGAAGAGGGCAAATGTCAAAGATGCTATAAAGAAAGAATCAATGAGATCTGAAAACAACTAAATATGGGAGTTTTAGAAAGGGAAGATTCAAGGATGACTACAAGCTTACCAACCTGGGTGATGAGGAAGATGGTGGTACCCTTAACAGAAATAGGGAAATTTGCAAAGGGATAGATTGGGATAAGAGATAGAAAGAAAAGGGAAAAAAAGAAAATCAGTTCTATAACAGACTTGTTGTATTTGAAATGCCAATAGGCCATTTCAGACATAAGTAACAGGCAACTGATGGCCACAAATAATCCAAATGGCAAATAATTCAAAAATAGTATGTCTTTAGAATGTATCTTAATACTTACTTTTTCCAGTTATGACATGTGAATTCACAATACTTTAAATAACATAATAAAGATACATTGTGAAAAATTCACAGCCTGATGAAATCTTAATGCTAGAAGGGTCTTTAAAAGTCATTAATCAAATCCAGATACATGAATCCTAAGTTGCGGCATCTTTTAAAAAATATCCAGTGACAAAGTCACCTATTACATCAGGAGATATCCATTTCCATTTTCAGACAACTCTAATGGTTAGAACCTTTTTCTTTATAATGTTTGCAACCCCATTCACTGGTCCTTACTAAGTCTTTGGAAATCTCATATAATAAGAGTAATTTCTCTAACACATGAAAGGTGTTCAAATATTTGAAGGGAGTGATCAGAATCTCTCCCAGATCTATATTTCCTTCAAGCAATCTTTACATGGCATGGTTCTGAATTCCCTCCCCATCCTGGTTCCTCTAGTCTGTATGCATTCCAGCTTATCAATGACCATCTGAAAACAAGACAACCAGAAATGAACATCATATTCCAAGTGTAGTTGGAGAGCAGAATGGAAAAATGCCTCCCTTATTCTGGACACTACACTTTTATTAATGTAGCTTGGCTTACCACCTCCAGTTCATACTAGATACTAGTCCCCTCCCTATCCTAGTTGTTCTCTTCTGTCCTCTTAGCAGAAGACTTCATTCTCATAATCTACTAAGAAAAGAAAGGCCAATTGTTGTGAACTCCCTCTTCTTCCCCCCTACTCTAAATCTCAACCATTTGACATCATGCACCACATCCTATTCCCTAGCCTCTCCTTTAATCCAGACTCTGACAAAAAATGAATAAAAACGTATTTTTATTAAGCAGAGCACTTTGGTAAGTGCTGAGGATACATAAAGAAGAGGTACGGTGGTCCCTGCTCTCAAGGACCTAACATTCTGGAATTCTGGGGGGCAGTCACTACTATTCCTGGGGTTTAGGGCTTACCTGCCAAAGATGATTCATACCCTCTCACACCCTCCCCACCTTCTCCTGTTACTTCTAGCGTGTTACCCCTACAATCATTCTGAGTGAAATGAGTATATTCACTACTGTCTATAAACACGCCCAGGTTTCCTCCATCCTTAAAACACCCTCACTAAACACTAAATCCCCTAAAGCAATCATACTATATCTCTTCTTCCTTTCCCAGCCTACTAAAAACATCAATGAATATTTTTTGCCTCCATTTACTCTCCTCTCACTCATTTCTTAAACCCCTTTAATCTGTCTCATCACACAAATGAAACTCCTCTCTCCAAAGTCACCAACAATCTCTGAACTGACAAATCTGATGGCCTTTCTCCACCTTTGTCATTCGTGAACTCTCTACAGCATCTGACACTGTTGACCACTCTCTCCACCTGGTTATGGTCTACTTTCTTGGTTTTGATGACACTGCTAACTTGCTTCTCCTCCCACAGTCTAGCCAGTTCTTCTCAGGTTCCCTTGATGTGTTTTCATTGATGTCTAGCCCCCTAATTATGGATGTATCCCAATGCTACGTCCTGGGCTCCATTCATCTCTCTTCTAACAATCTCTCTTTTGGTGACCTTATTAGCTCCCATGGGTTCAAATAGCTTCTCTATGGAAATAATTCCCAGATGTATATATCCATCATGAGCCTCTCTCCCGAATTCTAGTTCCACATCACCAAATGCCTATTGGATTTTTCAAACTGGATGTCTACAGGAATTTCAAATTCAACCTAAAACAAAACTCATCATCTATTCCCCATATCCCACCCCTTTCTGTCAAGGATACCACTACCATTCTTCCAATCACCCATATTTATACAACCGTAGTCAACTCTTACTCTTCATTCTCCTGTCATCTCATATATTCCAACTGTTGTCTTTTGCATCCCCACATTTCTCTACACTCACATGGCTACCCAACTAGATCAGGCTTTCATCACTTGTCTCGTGAGTTACTGAAATAGCCTCCTAATTCTTCTCTCTTTCTCAAGTCTCTCCTCTCACCAATCCGTTCTCCACAAAGCTGCCAAAGTGATATTGCTAAATCACACATAAGACGTCACTCCCCTACTCAATATACTCCCCATTTCCATTAAGAATAAAAGAGAAACTCCTTTGTTTGACATTTAAAGCCCTTCATAACTGGGCATCAGCCTTCCTTTCCAACCTTTTATACCCGACTCCCTTTCATACTCTTTGCCACCTGGCCAAACTGGCCTTCTTCACCTTTTCAGTGCCTTTGCACAGGCTGCCTCTATACACGGAATGGACTCCCTTCTCACCTTGACCTCTTAGAATGCATCCTTTCTTTTCAAGTTCAACTCAAGAGGCACCTTCCACAGAAGGCATTTCCTAACTCCCAGCTGCCAGTGTCTCACCCTCCACAATATTATCTTGTATTTCTTTTGTATATATTTATATGTGGATGTCTCCCTGATAGACCAGAAGTTCCTAGATGCCAGGGACTGTCATTTGGGGCCTAGCACAGTTCTTGGCACTAAGAAATGTACTTAATAAATGTTTGCTGCTTGACTTCAGAGAAGTTAAGATTGTTTTATTTATTCTACCTTGTTCCTTAACTTCCCTTTTCTTCCCAAACCATATAAAGTCCAAGCCTAAAATGAACTGATATTCCAATCTCTAAGGCTGCTGTATGTTTAGGAGGGGTAATGAAATATTTTTATTTAGCTGACCTCCTCCTATTTTACAGATTTATCTAGTCAATGAATGTTTCAATAAATATCATATAATATTTACTTGTATTACATAATAAGAGAAAATACTTGATCACTGTTAAGAATGGACGAGAAACAATTTTACAGAAGAACAGAGAGTCTCTGTACCTGCAATCACTCGCTCCACGGCATATTCAAAATTAAATGTATCAATTGATTTGTGTCCTTCTCTTGCAGCATGTAGAGCAGCTTCATTACATATATTTGCAATGTCAGCTCCTATTGGTAAAACATTTGACAACACTTAATATGTTTAGTAAGAAACTGGAATAAAGAATTCTATTATAACATTTAAACGGTAAAACATAGGGATCAGTGAATGACAATCCTGAGGCTTCCCCAACAGAAGCAAGACTCAGAATAGTTTGGACGTTGCTTGGACATAACATCATTTCATACAGGAATGGTGGTAGAGCTCTAGCTAGAGTTAGGAAGACCTGAGTTCAAATCTGACCTCAGACCTTGCTCAAGTTGTGTGTCCCTGGAGAAGTCTTCTAATCAGTTTTGCTTCAGTTTATCCATCTGTAAAATAGGATAATAATAGCACCTACCTCCCAAGGTTGTTGTGAGGAGATGCACTTTACAAATGCTAGCTATTATAGAAAACTGGTGGTTAAGAAATAAAAGGCATTGATAGACAAGACTCTATGGAAGGTCATTCAGAACAAGATCTCTTCCTCCTCTGAAACCTAAAGAGAGCACTTTGTTTGTATCCCTTTAATGTCACTTAACAATGATATCATACTTTATACTGTCATTGTTTATGTACCTATCTTAGTTAGCTTATTCTATTATACTAAAATTCCTTTTGGGAGAGGACAATGTTGTCTTCACTCTTCTATAATATTTACACATACAAAAAAAGTCTGTTAATTGGAGGAAGAACCAAAGAGACAGGGTATATATGTTGATAAAGTAAATGTTATAAGGCTGTTAATATTAACCTATAAAATATAGAGCTTTCAGATTCCCAGGAAATAAACTGAGAAAAAAAAACCCTTCATTGACAAAATTTATTTCTATTAAATTAAAACTAGTATAGAAAGAAACTCTCAGTAAAAACACAGGGGTCAGATATAAAAGGAATGAATAAATTGTAATGACTCACTATGATAGAAGATGAAATATGGATTCAGAATGAGAAAGATGGAGTGGTCGCTTTTGTGATTGGCAGAATATGTTAGGATATTCCTAGAATTGCAAAACCAACCTCTCTCCACAGAGCAATGTGAACATATGGTTTCAATTTGTGGGTAAAGGGGGTAAAATTCTGAAATAAATGGTAGAGCCAGTGCACCTTAAGGCCTGAGAGAGCAAAAAACCAAGGAAGGAAATTCCAAGTCTCATATGTGCAAACAGGCCTTGCAAAGCCCTAGAGAGAGCACCACAGTGGAGTAGCTTAGGGACAGGAATACTGCTGCAGACACTAAGATCCTTATTTAGGATTTGACCTACAGTAAGTGGGTGGTCTAAATACACAGTGAAATACTTTCTGTTCATTTTTCCCCTGGGTGGGAATATGACTGTTATTTATTTATAGTTTATTGACTTAACTTATCTTTCACCTACCCTGCAATGCAAAACTTATTCTCAACTCAGGCCTTCTCTGAACTGTTTCCCTCATAACGAGACTGGAAGGTCTATGTGCAGAAACACACAAACATGCACAATTCTATACCTACTACAAAGTAGTAGATACCTACAAAGCTTAAAGAACCTCAAATAATCCTGATAATTGCATGGGGTAAAACTGAATTGTCCATCTCCACTGGCCTTAAAAGAGATAACAAACAAAGCCAACACAGACTTAAGGAGAATTCTTTGAGAAAAGTCACTAAACTTTATACCGTTAACTCAACAATCTCTTTATGGGTATATGCCTAAAGTAGGTCAATGACAGCAAGTAAGGTCTTCTGTATAACTAAAGATTCATAATGACACTGTCTGGTAACAGATAATTGGAAACGATGGGGGTGTTCATCCATTGTAGCATGGCTAAACAAACTGATGTAAGAATGCAATGGAATATTACTATGCTATAAGAAAGGAATGAGTAATTTAAAGAAATATGAGAAGACTTGCATTAAGTGATACAATGATACAAGCAGAACCAAAAGAGAAACAATGACTATAATAACATAACACAAGTAACGGCAGTCCAACTTTGATGAATTACAGTGAAGAACTTCAGTCCTCAAGACCTAATGAGGAAACACACAGAAAGGTGAGGACTACAGATGTGGGACAGACAGCTGGCGGCTGTAAGGATTGACTTTGTTAAATGGAAAGGTTTGGTGGGGGGGGGGGTGAATGGCAACAACAGAACGAAAAGTGAGAGGGGAAGCCTTGGAAGTACAAACTCTAGGGACGTATAAAGTAGCATCAAAAGAGATCCGTGTACAGGACGAGAAGCACAAAACATTCCAAAAGATAAATGAATTCCCATACCGCTAAACCCAGGCGTGAGCTCTGCTAAACGCTGGGAATAAAAACTACCAGTCTGGGTCAGCTTCAGACTCTTCAGATGCTGTTCAAATATCTCCCTTCTTTCCTGTCATAACACAAAAGGAGAGACAAATATTTGGAGGGGGAGGGCACAAACAGACCAGAGAGTTGGGGGCGGGATACGTGCAGAGCAGCCAACATGGAAGCCACCTGTCTATGGAATGGCCATGGCTCCGGCCACCCCAGGCCACAAGAGGGAAGTGCACTTCTACTCTCAGGAGATTCACCCACCTTCCTCGCCAAGCAGAGGCTTGGTCACGGCTCTGCATCCAAATAAAGCCCTGATGTGTGGGGGTTTACCGTGAGTCATTAGCTTGCTTTCCCAAGCTCCTCTCTAAGGGTGATATTAACTACCTTTGACTTAGATTCTGCTCAAGGAGCCCTTCCTTCCTCGATACCCACCACCCCTCCAACCCTTCCTTTTGCTCCCACAGGACCAGAGTACCAAACCAGGCTTGAGTTCCTGTTCCTGGAGGTGCTGCTACAAAGACCCTCTTCTACCAGCTGAGGCTGTGTCCAACCTTAAACTAGGAGGTGGAGGAGGGGTGGCAGGCAGCCAAGGAGTGAATGACTCAGCTGGTCCAGGAGGTCCTGATTAAAACACTCAGAGCTCAGTTGCCAGGGCTTTTTTCCCTTCCTCCTTCAGGGGCAGCTGCACAGTTCAGGCTTTCAGTGCCAGATAGTATCAGGCATTTAAGGTATTTAAAATGAAAACTCTGAGGATGTCTACAAAGCTGCAGATGGAAGGAAGAGATGCCATGCAAGAAGAATGGGATTCTTTTACTTTTCCTCTCTGGATTTGGTTTCAGAGAATTTGCTATAAAACTCAATCCAGGCAAGCAAATTCAACCCCAGATGCTCAGGGAGAAAGAGGAAAAACAACAGTGGACGAACAAAAACAAGTTGCAAAACCAAAGAGAAAGCAGTGAGCCAAATAAAGTCTGGACAGATAAGAGTAAAGGAAATTCACTCGCTCCATCTGCCCTGGAGGAATGTTACAAACAAGGGCCATCCCTGTGGGGGCAGTGCTCACTGCCCAGCAAGTTTAGGCAGCTCTTCATTTCATGGGAGAGGAGGCCAAAAAGCTTCCCTCAACGACTATTTCCATGACAAAAGGATAACCCTACACCCTCAGCCCTGGGAACAAGGAACCAGCCAAGTGATCACTCTTCCGGCTAGTTAATATTTCTCATCACCCCCTTCTATTAATTGATAAGGGCCTTTGGCACACAGGAGGGCTTTAATTTTCACAAGCTTAAGAATATAGCTATTCACTGGGAAAGAATTCTAAAAGGCCTTGCAAATTAGCCTAATGAAAGTCAAACTTGTGTTTTTTACCTGTAGTGTAGGGAGATCAATAAAAATATGTCGGTCAAGTCTCCCTGGTCTCATCAACGCATTATCCAAAATATCAGCTCGATTGGTAGAAGCCAACACTATGACATGATCTGTAGTTCCCATTCCTGAAGATAAGGTCAGAAGAAAAATTTTTAAAAAAATTGTTACTTTTTGTTTTTATATCACCTTTATTTAAAAAAAAAATATATATATATATATCTTCCCCCCCCATCTAGAGAGCCAACTCTGATAACAAAAAATAAAAGAGAAACTGTTTTTTGTTAAAATGATGGTTTTAAAGCAATTTTTGGTTTTGTTTCTGCTCAAGTTCCAGGATACAGAGCTAGGCAGGAATTTTCTAGAGAGGTCTAACATAGAAAGAATGAGTACACTGAGCTGGCTTCCTAAACAGAGCTCCATAAATGCTGCTAGTTTATGATCCCTAATGCCCTTCATCCAAAACAATTCTGACAAACGAGGATTCACCCATTTTTACCCCCAGAAAGTCGGGGAGAATCATCTAAGGCAAGACTGTGTCAGAGGCCTAACCACAAATTCAAGCCAGGAGTCTACTTCACAGTACCCTGCTCTAAGCTCTAGACAGTACTCCTTGGAGGAATTTAAGTTGCCTGTAAATGCGTAACAAGAGAGAGTTTTACTACACTGTTGAACCTAAGGATCTATGGAGTATTTTCCTCTATCCTCATTCCATAGTTTTCTGTTGCCTAAAGTGACTTTTTATTTGCAACATCTGCAGTATTTTATTACATTTGGTCTGACAGCAATGGTTTTTCAGGCACAGGGTTTCTTAAAAAAGAATTGTAAAAGGGAGTTCATGGAAAAATCACTAATGAATACTACTAAAATGCAGAGACCCCTGTCTTTCTAAACTTTAAGCTCAGCTGATACTTAAAATTAAAAAAAAATAAACCTTAAAATTACCTATCAGGCCACTTCACCAGAGAGAAAGAAGCTCATATTACAGAGATAATTAAACAAACAAACCCTGCTATCTTCAAACATACTTCTGCTTCTCAACAGATGGATGTCAACAAACTCAATTCTGCTTTCTCACTAGCAGCCAAACTGGAAGCTGCGAGGTCTGTAGCTGCCTTCCAAGCTGAGAGCTCTAGCTGGTCCACGTGCTTCTATCGAATGAGTCACAGGCCTGCAGATTCCAAGCACTAGCACTGCAGAAACAAGAGATTCTCACCAAGAGGAGCTGATCATCCTCGAGAGTGGTTTTTCCTCTACATAAGCAATAGGATAGGGTAGCTTATTCCCAAATATGCTTCCATCTCGGAGCACAATCCCTCCCTAATTCTGAATAACCTATTCTAAGAGATGAAGCTCCGTATTGTTTGGTCTGGCACCCAAGAAGAAGAAATTAGAAGGATGTCAGTCACATGAGACTTAAAAAGCTTTATTTATGCTGCAAGATTACAAAATGCACAGTACATTATCATCTTAATGATGCAAAAATAAATGCTTGTAGTTTTGATCAAAAAACTATGTCTTACTTAAAATAAGTATCACTTAAAACAAACAAAAACGGAAGCCCCAGACAGAGTACACATTTCTTAGTTCAGCCACTGTATTCCACTTCTAAGGTAGAATATCAATTCAAATAAAACACTGATCCAGGAAATCAAAGGATAATAGGGATGGAAGAACCCTGAGAGATAATCAGTTCATTTCCCTGTCATCTAGGTGGGGCCTATAACTATCAGACTGATAGCAATCTAGTCTACTTTAACATACCTCTGGGAATGAAGATTCTATCATTTTCCCTCAGGAATCTAGGCCAGTATTTATCTTAGGTTTCTGAAATGCTTCTTCTCTAAAGAGGTCAAGCCAGTGAGCACAGAATTTTTAAAATATATCATTTCAACAAGTAGCCAAGACTTTGAAAAAAAAAAAAAGCCACAGTTGGTACAAAAGAAAACACGGTCACAGTAGAAAGAACACTGACCTCACAGTTGTTAGACCTCAGTTATAGTTCTGTCTCCTCCACTTATTAGTTGTGTGATTCTTGGGCAAGTCATGTAACCTCAGTGAGCCTCAGTTTTATTATCTGTAATATGGGGATAATGATACATGTTCTACATGTCTCACCGGATAATTATGAAGATCAAATGAGAATGTATGTGAAGGTGCTTTGGGAACAATAAAGCCATACAATTATATGATATCATGATTAAGGAAGAACAGTAAAAACACACAGAAAACTTCAAAAGTTATATGGGAAATGAGGAATATCAATTTCAAAAAAGACCAATGAAATCACTGAAGCCTTTCCCCACTGCAGCCCTTTTCTCCCAAAGGTGAGTTCTTCCAGTAAGGGACCAGATCAACCCACACTTCATTACCAGGATTTTGCCACTATTTGCTCTGACTCCGCCCGTCCCCCCCTTCCCAGGTACTTCTACTTCCCACACCCCACTTTTCCGCTCCCTTTCATGTGCTGCCTTCTGGTATTTTCTGTAAGTTCCTTAAGGACACTGCCTGTCTTTTTATTTGTCCACTTATCCTCAAACATCAGGGTTGGAGTTTTAAGTATTAAAGCAAACCAGACTGTAGCTGAGGACAGTGCCTGGCATACAGTCTTCAGTTAACAAATGCTTGCTGACTTTACTTTTTTTTGAGAGAGATGTTTTCGATGCTGCACAAAGTGGGAGAAGGATCCTTTAATGTGTGTCCTCTCCTTCAAAACAAAACTGCTGGTCAGTTTGACCTGCACTGCACGCATATTCTTGAAGCCATGCTATCTAGTTTTTTTTCCCCCTTTTCTTCCATCTTCTACTAATCATACGTAGAAAAATGTAGTCATGTCAGAGGTTTCCCAAGAGAGGCAGGGCACATTTCAGAGGCTATACCTGGTAAGGGTTTGAGTAAGGACTAGTCCATCCAAACCTCTCTCAAATGAACCACCATAATGGACAGAGGCTATTAGGAATATGAACCTACTCTGAGTCCCTCTGAAAAACAACGGTATCTTAGTCTTCAATACCCAATGCCAGGAGTGGCTGTTTAGGTATTAGAGCAAAATCAGGTCCTAGCCCAGGTGACTCCCCTGACCTAAGTTCAAGGGCTCAAGCTGGAAATGGACAGTTGAGTTAACACTGGCCTTTATGTCAATCAGAGAGAGTCTAACCTCCGCTACAGAGGCACCTCCAAACAGTGACCAAGAGCAGGTTTTTCCTCATCCAACTCAGACCCTGGAATGCTACACACCTCTAGGGGAGAGACAAAAAAGTCTGGAAACGCTTCACAATGTGAAGTCATTCTGACACACTCATTTGTTACTTTGAAGAAATGGAGAACAACACCTTAGACTATGTTTCACACACTTGCTGTAAAATTATAAATCTTAAGAAAAAAGTACAGAGTATATAATGCAGACTTTTCTATTACTGAAGTGCAAAAGAGCAAGCAGTTATGGTAGTGGCTACAGAAATGCCTACAGACAAAGCACAGGCAAAGAGTGATTAATGTGGAAATCACTAATAAGAGCCAGGTGTGTGGAAATAAGTACCAGAGCTAAGAAACCAGCTTCAGTTAAAACAACAACAACAAAAACCCCAAACTTTAATTATATGGCTTAAGAAGGGGCAGAAAGAGATTTTTTAAATAAGAAATAATTTTTTAAATAAGAAATTGCCTAGCTGAGTAACAAAAATGAAACAGTTTTTCCTTCCCATTCTAATGTAAAAGGAAAACAAAAACAAACCTGGTTTTTACGCACAAGGATTTTCTCATTTTAATCAAGAACCTGGAATGTTATTTAAGTTTCCAAACAGACCAAGGTCATCTGGTACAACTATTCTTGGAATTCCATGTCCAAGCTGACAAATCCCAAACCTGCAAGTATCCTTGTTTATGTCCATCTCCAGCAGATCTGACCATGGAGGAAACAGACTTGCTGACAGATCTTTAAAAACAGTCAAGCTGCTTCCAAATATTTAACAGCACTCTTGCCACTTCGGCCAAGAATCCCTGTATCAAAGACACAATGTACTTGATGTGAGCTTACCCAAATAGTACCTCTGGACCATCGCTGTGGGTCACATTTTCAATTTGTATTAATTTTTACTCACCCCCACAACATAAAATGATGCCTTTAAGCCTGAACTTTCTGACACTTGGGCTGGAAAGAGAGTGCTAATCTGCAAGGCTAGTCTAGACTCATTCATTATTCTGGGAGAGATTTCTATAGTAAAAGCTTCTAGCAGCCCTTCTAAGAATTTCCCCTAAGTGAAATTCAAGGCCACATCTGTTCCATTATTATTCTATATCACAGGAGTAGCATCTTTGTGTCTTCATAAATTAAAAGTTGAAAGGAATTTTAGAGGTCTAATTCAATCCCCCCATTTTATAGAAGTGAGAGGACTCAAAAAAGGGGGTGACTAGCTCCCCTCCCTGTTTAGACACCTGGGGTTCATGAAAGAACCAGGTTGTTACATCCAAGTCCCAGTACAGTGTTCATTTCTCTTTCCTACACAGCTTCTCCTCCCTCTACTCAACATGTCCAAAATGAAATTCATCATCATTCCCCCCTAAACCACTCTTATTTAGAACCTCCCTATTCTTGTCATGGGTACCACCACTCCTCTAAGTACCCAGGTTTATAACCTTGGTGTCATCCTTGACTGCCCATTCTCTCTCACTCCCTATGTCCAATAAGATGCCAATCAAATGTAGTTTTGTATATAATTATCTATGTAAATTCGTTCTCAGAAAAAACAACAACTCCTTGAGAGGGCAGGAGCTAGTTTATTTTTATCTTTTTTTTTCCCCCAAAAAAAGTGATACAAGTTTTCCCCAAAAAGATGGGCATTTCCTGTTAGGCTAAACTCTGTCCCAAAGGAGTCTGTCTTCTGAAGCACTAAAAGTAACCTGAGTGGAGAGTGGTGTATTACTACCCAACCTTACAGATGGCCGGTTAAAAACAAACAAAAAGCCAAATAAATGATTTCTTTCATGTTTTCGGGAGCTTTGTTTGAAGTAAACTAGAAGAGAAAACTGGAGTTGTCCAAGGTTGACAACACCAGAAATGGAGCTAAAACCTGGCCTTTGCCTTAGTCCTAAGAGCTAATTTAGTCAATTCACCTACTGGAGGCCATCG